AAGAAAGAAAGAAAGAAAGAAAGAAAGAAAGAAAGAAAGAAAGAAAGAAAGAAAGAAAAGGGAGGTAGGGAGGGAAGGAAGAAAGGAAAAGAATGCAGTTAAAGTATTAATATCATTCTTCTTTTGAATTAAAAACAGCCATTCAAATACTTTCTTCCTGCATCTCAATAAATATCCCTGAGGCACATGCCCCTTTCCCAAACTCCACTTCTTCTAGAGAGCGGTGAATAAGAATTAAGGAAAAAAACAACTTTTTCTTATCCTGGCAGCCCAAATAAGTCAAGACGGCCCTTCCATCCACTCACAATGATGGCAGAAGAAATGAAATATTGTGTGTGTGTGTGTGTGTGTGTGTGTGTGTGTGTGTGTGTGCGTGTGTGTGTGTGTGTACTGCAGTGTTGCAACACCAGCAGGCTCCAAGTGAAGGCAAAATGAGGCCTTCCCAAGAATCCCAACACAATGTTAGAAATACCCGAAAAATAAAATTAGCTTCTTTTTAATGAATATCCCATGAAGAAGAACTGTACTCCGAAAATAACAGCACGGTCCTGGACAGCTGGCAAAACGGGCATTTGGGGAGAGGCCTGGCACAGTTTCCTGCCTTGAGCAAAGTCTTGGTATGTGGTTCGCCTCCTCTCAAGACCACTGAGATTTAAACCTGTGATGCCCAGGCTGAAAACACCCGATCCTCCAGAAAGGCAACGAGGGAGCCGAGGTAGTAGATCCCATGTCCGGAAATGGGAGAGGCCACATCACGGTTCGTACATGACCTTGTGATCACAACAATCCCAGCTGATCAGCTCGTTGCTGCGAAACCAAAGACTTATTTCTCTCTGCGCCGTCTCCACCGAGTCACTGGCATGGACGACATTCCTGTTTGTAAGGAAAAAAAAGGGCCAGAGAACATTCCGTTTGGTGAGGGCATCATCACCAAAAGCTAAGGAGGATGGGACCAGGTCAGAACTTGGATGGGAGACTGAGATGGGACACCCCAAAATCCTACTTGGATACAGCCATGAAGTTTCTTGACAAGGTTTTTCAGAAGTGGTTTGCCGCTGTCTCCTTCCTAGGGCTGATAAGGAGTGACTGGCTCAAGGTTACCCAGCTGTCTTTGTGCCTAAGGTGGGACTAGAACTCACCGTCTCCTGGTGATTGGCCCAAAGGCACCCAGCTGGCTTTCATGCCTAAGGAGAAACTAGAACTCACTGTCTCCTGGTGATTGGTCCAAAGGCACCCAGCTGGCTTTCATGCCTAAGGAGAAACTAGAACTCACTATTTCCTGGTGATTGGTCCAAAGTCACCCAGCTGGCTTTCATGCCTAAGGAGAAACTAGAACTCACTATCTCCTGGTGATTGGTCCAAAGACACCCAGCTGGCTTTCATGCCTAAGGAGAAACTAGAACTCACTATCTCCTGGTGATTGGCCCAAAGTCACTCAGCTGGCTTTCATCTCAAGTGGGACTAGAACTCACAGTCTCCTAGTTTCTAGCCTGGTGCCTTAATGAGGACACCAAACTAGCTCTTATTTGAACACAGAAGCCCCCAATCAGACATTTTGCGCTCTGGATCACCACTCATCTTGTACCTGCTAACATGGACACTGAAATCACCGCGGACAGTGCCTGGCTTGGCTTCAGCCGGGTTGGTCTCTCCCACCATGGCCCTGGAAGTCTTGACAACGTTGTAACCTTCCCACACCTACAGGGTGTATAGGAGGGAAAAGGGTAAAGCTGTGCAATTTGACAAACATCAGAAAGAGAAACAGCACTGCTGGGTGGAATTTAAGCTGCAGAAAGGGCACTACGTATGTAATCTATTTTGTTTATGGCTGTAGTTTTCTTTCTTTAACTTTATTACAGCCACCCACTCCTATAGACTGTGCTCTACCTAAGTCTGCCTTCACACAACAGGCAAAAGTGGGTTGACAACAGCTGGATTCCTACAACATATGTGAGTCAAATAATCCACATGATGGCATAAGGTGACGATCTAGATCTTGAAGTACTAAGACAAGGGGCCTGTTTCCACCCTACACTGAGCCACAATCTACCCAGTTCCATTTGCCTAGCGTATGAGAACATCTAGTTGCGAGAAATGTAACCACTTTGGATGTCTTTAATGCAAACACCATGATACTATATTATGGCTTGGCTTGTAGTTGGCTTGTAGATCCAGGTCAACAACTATTGTGAAGTCACATATCATATATCTATCTTTCTTTTTTCTTTTTTTCTGTTTTAATTTAGTTTGCATTATTTCTTATTATTAACCTTAAAACATATACATGCATACATACATAGAGATTGTATATGCAAGGACTCACTCTCTCACACACTCTATCTATCTATCTATCTATCTATCTATCTATCTATCTATCTATCTATCTATCCATCTATCATCTGTTTATCATCTGTCTGTCTGATTGTCTATCTAGCAAGAGCAAGAGCACATAGACTAAGTATGTACCGCTTCACAGTGCTTTCCAGCCCTCTCTAAGCTGTTTATAGAGTCAGCCTCTTGCCCCCCAACAATCTGGGTCCTCATTTTACCCACCTCAGAAGGATGGAAGGCTGAGTCAACCTGGAGCTGGTCAGGATCGAATTGCTGAATGTCTGGCAGTCAGCAGTCAGCAGAAGTAGCCTGCAGTACTGCACTCTAACCACTGCACCATCATGGGTCTTTCTATCTATGATCTATCAATCAATTTATCAATATATCATTATCTATTTCTGTCTATCAATCTATCTATCTATCTATCTATCTATCTATCTATCTATCTATCTATCATATCTCTTTATATCTATCTATCTACCTATCTATCTATCCATCCATCCATCCATCCATCCATCCATCCATCTACCTATATCATTCTCTCTCTATCTTCCATCCATCCATCCATTGTTTTGTGTGTGTGTCAGAGACAGAGACAGTGAGAGAGAGAGAGAGAGAGAGAGAAGAGAGACAGAGACAGTGTGTGTGTGTGTGTGTGTGTGTGTGAGAGAGAGAGAGAGAGAGAGAGAGAGAGAGAGAGAGAAGAGGAGAGGGAGAGAGAAGAGAGAGAAGGGAAAGAGGGAGACAGTTTACTCCTGAAATCAAACTGGACATTCTAACCCCCTCCAGTATAGAAAACAACAGGACCAGTATAGAAAATCCCTTTACCATGGCAACGACAGGCCCAGAAGTCATGTACTGAAGCAGATCGTGGTAAAACGGCTTCCGGCGCAGCTCGTGGTAATGTTCAGCCAGGATCCCTTCGGTGGCCTGCAAAGAAAGGAACACCACTTTTGGATTTTGTGCTCAGAATTCGAAAAAAACAAAACCAAACCTTGAAATTCTAATTGTAGGTTGGGATGATTAGAATCATTTTGCTGTTTTAGAGATGGCTCGGAAGATCTAGAAATGTAAAAGCAAAAGGTTGAGACTGTAATTCTTTTTTTTGCATTCTATTGCACTGAAAAAAGTCGGACGTTTTTTAACCTCTCTTTTTTGGCACTTTTCTTTCAGTCTTTTTCACTTAGCTTTTGTTTGTACCTGAATTTTACTTTAGAATAAACTTTCATCAAACGAACCACCTCCCCAAAATAAAAATAAAATTAAAATTGGTCATGCTCCGCCCTTCCTGTGAAAGTGGCACTCCTGATTTCTTACCTCTTCCTGCAGAACAGGTGAGGGCATCAAAGCTACAGGTTTTAATGGATGGAATTTCATACAAACAAGTCTCAGTTATCCCCAGATGCTCACCTGGAGTAACTTGAGCCCCACCAGTTTAAATCCCCGTTTCTCGAAACGTTGGATGACGTCTCCCACCAACCTCCTCTGGACTCCATCCGGCTTCACTGCGATCAGCGTGCGCTCCTGCAGCTCAGATACGCCTGCCAAGCAAAGAAAGATGCCAACTCGTAAATCATTCCTATGCCTGCTTCCGAGTTGCCATTAGAAGAGGGGAGGGTGAGGCCTGAGGGAGCAGTGCAGCTGATGAAGGCCAGAAGCAAATTCCATGCTTATCTTTGTGGAGATTGTAGCCTAGGCTACTGGATCTTCTGCCCGCCCCCCATCAAAAATCCTTAATTGGAGAGTGTGATTGATGACACTCAGCCTGTGAATGTCCTTTGTTGGAGAATCTGATTTATGACACGCTCAGGAGAGTGGCGGGGGAAACAGGATCATAGGTGATAGTAAATTACGTATCTCAGAGCTGGCTTCATAGGGTTAGTGCCTGACATGTTACTCCTAATAAATCTTTTGAATTCTTTTGAAGCTTGGCTCGAGGCTCATGATTTAATCAGGGCAATCGCCGGAACCCTGACAAAAGAGCTGCAGATTGGCACCAGTCTACCCCAAACAGGTGATCCTAATACACCCAGCTGGTGGTACTGGAACCCAACCTGAGAAGACCACCAATGATTTCTGGGTGATTTAGAGGTGACAAAAGGCTTTTTTTTTTTTTTGCAAGGAGTGTGTGAGATGACCCGGAGTATAACA